GGTGCTGTGTCGTTGGTCCGGGCATTTATGTAGGCAGTAAATGGAGAGTTTTGTAGGAAAAAAGATACATGAAGAAACTGGTAAAAAGAAAAACTGAAACAGTTACAAGGTAATAATTTTTAGTAAGTTGATGGTGTTCTTTAAAATAATGGCTTGGTGTGCAGAATGCATACTTGTACTGGTATTTGTGAGTGAAGTACTATTTGATTCTTAGCTTTTGATATTTTGGGCACAACTGAATAGATGTGTCCTTTGCAACACAATAGAGAAAGGAGACATGATACAAGTGGTATTGATTCTATTTTAACTGAAATATTTCTTCAAGAAATAGGAATACATGAGGAAAACAGTAGAGGTTGGGACAGAATGGACGACGGCTCATGAGTCACAGTTCACCATTCTTCATGAAGCTTTCCTCAACTTACACTCTGCTACTGACTGCTTCTGAACACTCCGAATATCAAAAGAAGAAAAAATTAACTTGTGTGTCACACTGCACTTTTTTATGGCTCTTTCAATTCATTTTTCTTTAAGACTGAGCAGGTAGTTTTACTCTATATTACTGAGTAATACATGTTTTGTGAAAGCTGATATCAAAGTATTTTTCAATTTCTGATCTAAGGATTTACAACATTCTGAGAACCGAGGGCTAAATTGTTGCCTGGATATTTTCTTCTGTAGATTTGGACCACTGTGATGGCAGCCTCTTGAATCAGCAAAATTCAATGAGTAGTTCAGACTATGACACAGACAACCCCTTAGTAGTTAATAGTTTAACCCCATCCTAGAGACAAGGCACTTTTTCTAAAAGAGCATTTCTTCATTTATTTGTAGAGAAAGGGAAAGATTTATTTTCTTGTTAATGTAACCTGAGTCATTGACAGCATCTAATGAAATAACAGCAAAATATTGCAAAGGGGAAGCAAAACTTTTCAGCTAAAAATATTTCCATGTAAAGGGAACAGACTGGAGACGGAGCTTGTGTCATTCACAATTTGTATTAAAATCACACATGATACTTGTGCACACCAGATCTACTAACAGATGTAGCAGGGATTCATTATTTTAACTCTTGTGGTTTTTAAGCCACTTTTAACATTTTTCTGAG